CACTCTGGCTTCAGTGAGGGCTGTGTTGTGTGGGTCTCTCTCCATTGCCTCAAGACACTGGGCTGAAGCCCCTTGCGACTTGGCTGCATTTTTTGTCTCTTTGTGGGGTGTCTGGCCTTTATGGCTTCTCTCTATGTACGTGTGTCTCTGTCTTCATGCTATGTATTGGGGTCTTGGGCTTTGGATCATGACGTCTGAATCATACTGGTAGTAGAGGCCCTCTTCTTTCTTCCTGCTATATCTCTTCAGCCCCTAACTCCCCCTCCCACTACATTGCCCCATGTAGTGAAGGTCTGAGTAGGGAGCTGTTGAGGGGTGAGGGGCTCTGGGGGGAAGGCTGGGCCTGTAGGGCTGTCCCGCCCAGAACAGGTGGGCCTGCTGATCTGGTTGACAGCTGCATTGTCCATCCACTGCTTCCCCTGGGCCCCCCACCCCCACATACACTCATACCCGTGTCTGGGCACGTGTGGAAGGGTGCTCATGCAGTGACAGGGAACTGGCCTTGTTTTCTGTGCCTCTACCTGACAGCTGAGTGACAGCCCACTGTGCTTTTAAGCAGGGAGGAGGCTGGCAAAGGCGGGCTGCAGAGTCAGCCTCCCCATGTGAGTTATCCCAGCCTCTGGGCCATTAGGCCCAGCACCAGCCCTGCCTCCCCCACGAGGCCTCTGTGCCCATGACCCTCACTGCTGGGCCTGGCAGGGCTGAGCCAGGGGAGTGGGTCGGGGAGGGGAGGGTGGCTGTGCTGCCCAGGGCTTGAGCTCAGCCTGGTCCTACTCTCAGGGAGCTCCCTGTCCAGCAGGGAGAGAGAGGGACATAGCTATAGACAGCCTCACTGAGGTGGAGGAAGAATGGACATTCCAGTGTGTATGTATGGACAGCATGGCTCCTTGCTTGCATAGTACTGGGAGGGAGGTATTATTAATTCCATTTTGTAGAGGACAATGTGGAAACCCAGGCGGTTGGGTGACCACCCATGGTCTCACAGCTGGTAAGGCCCAAGCTGGGAAACCCATGGCCCATAGCTGGCTGGTCAGTCCTGGGCATGAACTCTAGGTGCCGGGGCCTTAAGACTTAGCATGAGGTGGCTGAAGAGACTCATTCTGGCTCTGCAGGACTTGGCTCTGGCTATGTTACCTTAGGCAAGTCATGTCACCTCTCTGACTGGACTTCGTCACCTGCGAAGGGGGATGATGACACCTGTATCATGGAGCTATGAGTGTGAGGCTGAAATGAGGCCACAGTGCATGTGAGGTGCTGACATGTACAAAGGGCGGGTTGGGTATCTGGGCCTTTCCTTGGGAGGCCCTTCTGACCCTTGATACTGTCCCAAACTCTCCATCCTATAGTGGGCCCAGCTCATGTTACCTCCTACTAGAAGCTGCCCTGGTTTTTCAAAGGCCTCAGAAGCCCTGAGAATAGATGGTCTGTCTGGAGCTGGGGGCTCTGAGGCAGGGTCTGGTATCTTCTCACCCATCAGAGCACAGGGCTGGAGGGGGTGTTATTCACATATCCCCACCCCTGAGTCCTAGCATAGGAGCCCACTTTTCTGAGTGTGCTTCATTATAGGACAGGTTTGGGGACGGACCTGACAACTGAGTACCTGGGTCAGAGGTTGGGGGACCTGAGGTGGGCGTGCCACAAGCAGAGGGATGAGTGGTGGCTGGATCAGGCAGGCTGGACAGGCCTGGGGCTTGAGTCCACTCAGCAGACATAGACCTTCAGCACAGCAGAGACCAGGGAAGCTCCACTGGTGAGTCCCTACCCTGAGGGGCTCCCAGGGGTGGGGGCTGGAGAGATGCCACAGACATGGATACCTACCCCGCCATTTTCATGTGCATTCACATCAGCAGGCCTTGATGGCTGGAGTCCAAGACAGTGTCCAGACAGATGCTCTGAGCAAGCTGAGGTCCCTGAGAGGAAAAGTAGAGAAGGGAGAATAAGCCCCAGAGATCTGGGCCCCAGAGCAGTTAGGGGCCTTACTCAGAACCACTCCAGGGACTCAGAGGAGACCCAGAGAGGAGTCTGTGCCTGGGAAGAGAAGCTCTTGGGATGGTGCCATCTGGGAAGGCTTCCTGGAGGAGGAGTGGGCCAGAGGCATAGAAATTGGTGGCAAGGGGCAGTAGTGAGTCCCAGAGAGTCGAATACAGACAAAACATCCCCAGGCTGGCTTCCAGCAAAATCTTCCCACAGAATAGGGGTTGCCCTGACAGGGATGCATAACCTGTCCCTGTGAGTATGGGTACAGAGTCTGGGCGACCTCTTAGGGACTCTATAATGCAGATCATCAAATCTTCAGGATAGAGGCATTGGTGCCTGGGCCTCCATTTCTGCATCCTTAAAATGGGGAGAATAATAATAACATCTACCTCCCAGGTGGTCAAAAGGATGAAATAATATATAATGCTTAGAACAGTGCCTGGCACAGAGTAGGGCCCAGTTAACCTTTTTTAATGAGAGAACTGGGATCCAGCCTTGTCTGAGAGTGTGAACCCTGCCCCCACCCCTCTGTGTGACCTTTGGCATGACCTTTGGTGCTGACTTCACCTCTCTGGGCCACCTTTGTCTTCATCTGTAGCAGGGTGTGACAGTTTCTACTCTCAGGGATTATGTGAAGCCCAACTAGGTGGAGTCTGACCCCACAAATGCTGACCCTGAAAGTGGGGTTTTCAAAATTGGCAGCTGGAGTAGGGGGAGGGGAGCCTGGAGGCATCTTCTTTTGCAAATGTGAGAGATTATTGATTTTTTGAGCCCTTTTTGGGAGCCCAGCAGGGGAGCCAAGAAGTAAATAGGAGATCTCTAGATCTGCCCCAACAGTCATGGGGGGCCAGTGGAGGAGCGAGGGGGCTCTCTGAGAGGCAGGAAGATGCAGGGGAGGGCGCTCCCTGCAGGGGGAGCACATGAGCAGAGACCTGGCATAGTGGAGGTCCAGGGTACCTTGGGGAAACAGCCAGCAGCCCCAGATGGTGGAAAGGTAGGCCTTGAAGGCCAGGGATAGGGTGTGGATAGGCTCTCTGCACCCATGTGCACTGCTCACCCTCTGCTTTCTGTCTCCCCAGGACATGCGGAAGCACGTGACCATGACCCTGCTGGACACAGAGCAGTCATACGTGGAGTCACTGCGCACCCTGATGCAGGTGAGGCTCACAGCTGGCCTGGGCCCCTGAAAGTGGCAGTTCTGAGTCTGGGGGGCTGTCAGACATGCGGGAACAAACCCACTTAGTGGACAGGGAGCTGAGGTCAGAGGGCAGAGAGAATTGACCCTGGGACACACCACCCCTCCATGGAGAACCCTCCACACGACTGCCCTGGAGGAGGAAGCCTTAATGAGGCCAGACCAGGCTACCCCCGGGCAGGTGCCCGCTCCCTACCCATTGTCCTTCCAACTCCCCAAGGCAGCCCTGGGTCTGAGTTTACATTGTGAAGCCCCCTCTGGTGTAATCCCCTCCATTTTAATCATGGACTGGGAAAATATTTGTTGAATGGGATGAAATGTTGAGCACCTACATGCCAGGTCCTGTTCCAGGGGGCAGGAAACACAGGGATGAATAAGAGAAACAAGCCCCTGCCCCAGGAGCTCTCCGTGCTGTTGGGGACATTACTGAGTATATATGGGCCCTCTTGAGGCATCGAGGAGGCACCTGTGAGTCAGGGGGTCAGGGAATTTTCTTTGAGGAGGCACTGGCTTCCTCCTGACCTGTCTTCTCAGCCAGGAACAGCATATGCAAAGTCCACTAAGGAGAGGCCTGGAGGTCTCTGTGGCCAGCACAGAACACACGGGGTTGGTCCTGTGGTGATGCTGGGGGAGCCAGTAGGGGCCACGTGGTAGGAGCCTTGAATACCAGGAGAAGGGTTTGGACTCTATAGAGGGCCCTGAGGAGTCAGTGAAGGGCTTTGAGCAGAGGTGGTATGTAGCCTGACTCATGCTTTACAAAGTCTGTTGACTGCTGGGAAGGTAGGTAGCAGAAGAGGAGGCTAAGGCCACTGAGGTCAGGTGAGGGAGGGAAGGCCAGGACCAGGGCAGAGGCTATAGGGAGGGAGAGTTGGGAATAGACAATTAGGAGGTGGACTGGTCAGCCAGGCATGGTAGTTGGTTGGCTGTGGGGGGTGAGGTGAGCTTAGCCCAGGGTGCTATCTGGGCTCCTGGCCTGGGTGACTGAGGCACTAGAGGAACCCCACCTGGGAAAGGTGGGGCAAGATGCTGAGTTTGGGTTCTGATGTGTGGGTCTGGGAAAGCCCAGGAGCCGGGATACAAAGCGGGTCTGGGGCCCAGGATAGAGGGCACGCATCTGAGCTGAGGTGGGGCTTGGCACTCACAAATGAGGACACGTTTGCTCAAGCCACCCGGACAGAGAGCAAAGGGTGAAAGGTAGAGCCCCAGAAACATCCAGAGTATTCATTCATTCACCCCACAAATCCGCAGCGGAGCCCCCTCTTCATGCCAGACAGCGTTCTCTGGAGACTTCAGCATGAGGGGTAAGGTCCTGTCTCCCAGAGCTCACCGTCTGTGACAGAGACCAACAGTTAACAGTTACCTTGGGAACATTATGCTAAATGAAATAAGCCAGTCACAAAAGGACAAATATTGTAGATTCCACTTACATGAAGGTACCTAGAGTAGCCAAATTCATAGAGACAGAAAGTAGGATGGTGGTTGGAGGAGGGGAATGGGGAGTTAGTTTAAATGGGTACTTAGTTACAGCTGGCGAAGATGAGAAAGTTCTGGAGATGGATGGTGGTGATGGTTCCCATCAGTAGGCATGTACTTAACGTGAGTATACCAAACTGTACACTTACAATGATTAAATGGCATATTTTATATGTATTTTACCAAAGGAAATTGCATTGCTTTTATATATTTTTAAAAAGTGCACAGAGAGCTGAGAACACAGAATGGGGGCCTGCCTGGTGTCTGGAGCCAGGGAGGGCTTCTCTGAGGTCGGGGTGTTTAATGGGACCTGAATTGTTTGTAGGAGTCAAGCAGGGGGCGAGGCCGGAGGGAATCGCTCCAGGCAGAGGGTACAGCAGGAACAAAGACTTGGGGGCTGGAGGAAGCCTTAGAGTACTCAGGGATGGAGAGGTGGCCCGTGTGGCTGCTGGGTAAGGAGTTGGGCTTTATTGTTAAGCACAGGGAATTCATAGGAGGAACACAACCAGAATTCCATCTTTCAGAGATGCCCATGGCTGCCAGGTGGGAATAAATGTGCAGGGGTCTGGGGGAGTCCCATGTTGTCCCCTAGGTAGGAGTCAAGACTTAGGGGCCAGTCAGTCCCAGGTTTGAGTCATTTGCCTCCCTGCTGGGTGATGCTAACCTAATCACCTCACTTCTCTGAGCCTCAGCGGTTTTTTTGTCTGCAAAATGTAACTAACCATACCTATCTCCCATTGATTGTGAAGATTAAAAGATGGTGGGGCTGCCCATGCCTAGTTCACAGACTGGAGGCAGGCAAGGCCTGGGTGTGTCTCTCGACCTCTGAATCTCCTGGCTGCACACATGGAGGCTTGCAGGACCTGTGGGTGGAAAAGCTAAGGGAGAATCGTGCTGAGGAAGCCAAAGGGAGAGTGTTGGGTGGGGAGGGGTGGAGATGGGCTGGACAGTATCAGCTGAACCAAAGGACTGTCACTTGAGGCAGCTTTGTTGTGTCAGAAGGACTGAGGGCTGGCCCAGGGATCGGAACAATGGCTCTGGAGCCAGGCCACCAGTGTTGAAACTTGACTCTACCTCTTGACCAGCTGTGTGACCTGGAGCAAATTACATAACCAGCCTCTGCCTCAGTTTCCTTGTCTGTAGTGTGTGAATAATAACAGCCTGCTTCAAGCACAGATTATAGGAGAGGAGCACGTATAATTTAGCATACTGCCTGACAAGTCTGCATGCCTGCACGCGTGCATGAGCGAGTATGTGTTTATAAAATCACATTTAATCTTTGTATTAACCTTGTGAGGTAGATATTATAATCCTCTTCTTTAGATGAGGAAATGAAAACTCAGGTTAAGAAACCTGCCTAGGGTCATCCATCTATTAAGTGGTGTCCTAGTCTGTTCAGGCTGCTATAACAAAAATTAGCATGGACTGGGTGGCTTAAACAAATGGAAATTTATTTCTGATAGTTCTGTGGGAACTCCATGAGCAAGGTGCGGGAGACCACTCCGCGGGGTCCAGGGGTTCCCTCAGGTGGAGGTGGAGGCGGAGTCGGCGGGGGAAAAAGTAAGCGGAGACACAGGAGCGCTTGTTCAAGAAGAGAAGTATCTCACTTTATTCTACAGCATGCCCCTTTTTATAGTGGGCAGTTGACCATTATCTCATCAGTAAAAAGTTATTTTACATATTTTAGATCAAGGGTTTTACTTCCTGGTAATTCTTATGCTCCAGGGTACAGCTTGACTTTTTCTTATGCTCAAAGATCAACTTAACTGTGTTTTAATCCTTTTTACCTATAGTGACTATGTGACTAAGGCTAATCCTTTTACCTATAGTGACTATGTCTACTCAACAATTATCCTAAACACTATTAGCTAAGCTGGATCTTAAGATTTATAGGGTGTGTACTTTGATCTTTACTAAGAAACTAGTAGTGTGACTAAAATTGCCTTTAGTGTATAAAATAGAATTATTGTGATATCTCTAAAAGAAGGGGTGTAAGATCTTCGTCCTACTGGGGGGAAGGGGAATTTAAATCTTCTAAGATATAAAGCAGTATCTGTTTCTCAGTCAGAGCTTCAGAATTTGTCGCAATAGCAATGTGCTTGGCCATGTCAGACACAGGCGCAGCCGGCTCCCGGCAGCAAGGCACTGGCAGATTTGGTGTCTGGTGAGGACCCTCTTCCTGGTTCATAGACTTTTCAGTGCGTCTTCACCTGGCAGAAGAGCAGAGGAAGCTTTCGGGGCCTTTTTCATAAGGGCACTAACCCCATTCCCCAGGGCTCCACCCTCATACCTCGTCACCTCCCAAAGCCTCAGCTCCAAATAACACCATTATCAGGGTTTAGGTTTCAACATATGAATTTGAGGGGAACACAGCACACACTCAGTGTATACAAGTGGTAATGCTAAAAATGGACATTTATATAGTACTTACTACATGTACGTTATATAAATTAATTCATAATAAACCTCATCATAACATCCCATTTTACAGATGATGAAACTGAGACACAGAGAAGTAAAGCAACTTGTTCAAGGTCACAGAACTAGGAAGTGCCATAGCCTGGGTTGAATCCCTGTCAGTCTGACTGTAAGGTGCTCCCTCTTACCCTCTGGTCTGCACTGCCTGAAGGATAGGTGATATTCAAACTGAGATTGGACTCCACAGCCCTGGTGTTCCCTAGAAGTGAACACTGCCTCCCACATTGATTGGTATTGTTCCTGCAGGCCAGGAGTTTAAAATGAAGGAAGACATTAAATACCAGGATTAACAATCAGAAAGAGGTGGGATTAGAACCCAGGTCCTAAGGCTACACCCTTTCCTGTGTCACCCTCACCTTTTGAGTCTTTCTTCAACCCCCAAATTCCCAGCTAACCAAACCCCCTTCTCCTAGCACTCCTGACCCTGTCTTTTTCCCACAGCACCTACTACCTTCTAACATACCATATAATCATTTCATTATTTATGGTGCCGATTTTCTGCCTCCCTCCACAAGCACAGGGACTTTTGTCTGGCCACCGATGCAGCCCCGTGCTTAGAAAGCCAGACAGACACACAGTAGTTGCTCAGAGAGTATGTGGTGTGTGAATGCCGGTGTTGACTCCTAGCTGGTTCTGTATCGGATTCTCAGCCACTGTTTATTCTTTCCTCCCACTGTGTGCCTGCTTATGTGTGAGGCACTGGGACCTGGAGATGAGTGGTTTGGCTCCTGCTCCTGTGGGGCAAGGGACCCTAGCACAGATAAGGCAC